GGAGAAATAGCACTAAATGGAAAGCAGTACACAAAGAGCTTCATTAGCCCGTTCTGCAAGACTGAGAGTCCAGAAGAGACATTTGCTAAACATGGTGTGTCTTTCAGCACAGGCCTGGTGGAAACACTAAAATTAGGATCAGCAACTACCATAAACACATGGTCTTTAAAGCATCTGAAGACAAGCAGTTTGCTTGCTGTCACTCATTGCGAGGAACGGAGGCCAGCGCTGGAAGTGACACAAATCAATACTGCACGCTTAGATTTCAGGATAGTGGATATCTTATAACTGAATAAATAACAAATGCTAAAATACTTAGGGACTCTAAAACACTGCTGAGAAACTTATTTGCCATTTATAGCATTTTAAAGACAAATCTGGCCAAAGGATGAATTGTCTGCTATCAAACCCAGGTTTCAGAGCTCATAAGCTTTCTGTCATTTACCTGGAAGGTTCACTCTTTATGGGGGACTCAATGAGCCTATAAAAGCAATGCCCTTATCCCATTGCCAAGGCAGGAGGGAAGCAGTCTGCAGCACCACTTAGCCCAGGAACCAAACCAACAGCAGGAAACATTCAGAGCAATAGTGTCAAGATCTCGTACTGAATAAGGTCTTATGTAGTCTGTGTGTGTGCGCACTTCTGTGACCATCAGGTAGTTTTACTGCCTCACCCTGAAGCAGCCTCACCTATCCTTTATTTCTCTTCTTGTTCCACTCTGATCACTTGGTTACATTCAGTAGCAAAGTCCCTGCTGTCCTGTGGCTCTCCTGTAATAAAGCCTGCCTCTTTTCAACAAGCTGGTGCCCCTTACACTGCTTTGAGGTTGAATATGGCTCTAGGCAGCCCTGAACTGGGCACTGATGGTCACAATGAGCACTGCCAGCTCTAGTCTGTGAGCTGCACTGAACACCCAGGGTTGTTCAAGAAGCCAGGTTTGGTTCTCTTCTGCTTGATTAGCTGGGAAACAGAGAAGTAAATTGTGTAAGATTGCGTAAATCATCTCCAAGTAAACTGCAAACAAAATGTCAAAAGCATCACAGAGACTCTAGAAAACTGATAGCTGGACTCAAAGTGTCAAGAATAACCTAAAACACCTGAACACCTCATGGAAGTTTAAAGATCTAAATATTTGGGATCAACATTGTTTGGAAATGATCAGACTTTATGTGAGCAACAGAACATCCTCACAACATAGCATGGTCTCACCAGAGCCTCACATCTCACCCCACCAGCAGGACACCTCACAGCTTTGCTTTTGTTTGTCTTTTCATTTTGTTTTAATTCTGTAGTTACAGAGTGCTAGTTCACATCCCCAGCCAGGAAGCAGCAAGGTGATCCCTAAAACCCAGGTTACAGTCTGGATGGCCATTCCCTTGCTATAAACATCAGAAATCACAGAATAAAGAGGAAGGAATGTATCCTACCACAGCTGCTCCCAGGGCTGCAATCTTTGGTGACGTATAGTGTGGAAAATGTGTCAAAATGGTTTAGCAGGAAAATAAAAAACATGATGAAGAGAAGGATGGCTAAGTGACAAAAGAGTCATGAAACAAACATCCAACCACAAATAATTCAATGGGTTTATTTGTTCATATTATTCTGCTGACATGGCACGTTTTTCCCTGCTGATTGCACTCGCCATATCAGTGCTGAAGTCTGGCAAACTAAGAGACTGCTTTCACTGTAACAGAAAGCAACTATAATCAACAGGCAATTCCTTGTGTGTCACCCATGTATAGCTGTGAGATCAGTATAATCAAGAAGGGACCCTGAAGGCTAAGGTCATTTTGGGCTGGTTTTCTGCAGCAAAAAATGTGAGTGGTACAGCCTCTTTGTTGCAGCTGTAGCTGTGGCAGTGTAAGAGCTGATTGCCTTTCAGACTCTCACAGCTCTGTGCTGACTGTGAAAACTCACAGACTGTTGCCTTTAGTCATCCCATAGCTGGGAAATCTTTTCGCTGGCAGTGGGATTTGCATGACCTTAAAATAGCTATTTGGGTAACCTGTGCCTTCTGAAAACACGGCTGTATAGCCCAAAAACCTGGATGTACAGCAGAGTGCCAATCATAACCCTACAAGGGATCCAAAAAGGTTGACCAAAACACAATTCTGCATGTTGGTTGACTATTTTGGCATCAAATTAGGTCTAGAAGAAAGAAAAGCTCACATTGGAAGCGGAACCATGCTGTCTTTCAAAGGTGGACAAGGATTTATCTCTTCCATGTGGATTTCGTTCAATATAGAAGGTCATCAGGAAGTTGTGTGGGACCCTCCCAATCATATTTTAAGCCTCAATAAGCAGGGGAAAGAACTAGAAGAAAGGAAAGTACAATAGAGCAATTAAGTCCATAAAGGGCTGCAGAAAAAGAATCTTAGAAGATGTTTTTTTCACAGAGTTCTTAGAGTTTACAGAAATGTAAAGGACCCCTTGAAAACATAGGGTTGCCTGCTGCTTTTTGTTTAGAAACCTCCATTCAGCCATCACAGGAAAGATACACAGCCTGCTTGACGTTTCCCTAACAGTTCTCATTTTAGGTAATGTAAATAACATTTTTTACATTAACATCTTATTTATGTAGAATCTTCTGTCTCAGCAGATGTCCTACAGCTGTAGGTGTATAAAATACAGAACAGAGCTAGGGGCAGGAAAGTAGGATCAGTCTCTTCCTTATGCAACTAAGGAGTCAAATCAGTGAAGCTGTGGGAGTGTTACTATGCTGCAAACATCATGTGAGCCAGATATTGGACCCATAGCTGAGGCTCTGTTTGATTAAGATACTCTTTGCCTCACCCCTTCATGGTTTTTATATTACAGAACCATAGAATAGAATCATAGAATAGTTAGGGTTGGAAAGGCGCTTAAGATCATCTAGTTCCAACCCCCCTGCTATGGGCAGGGACACCTCACACTAAACCATCTCACCCAAGGCTTCATCCAACCTGGCCTTGAACACCACAAGGGATGGAGCATTCAGTTTCCTTGCCCAACCCATTCTAGTGCCTCATCACCCTTACAGTAAAAAACTTCCTCCTTATATCCAGTCTAAACTTCCCCTGTTTAAGTTTGAACCCATTACCCCTTGTCCTGTCACTACAGTCCTTAATGAAGAGTCCCTCCCCAGCATCCCTATAGACCCCCTTCAGATACTGGAAGGCTGCTATGAGGTCTCCACACAGCCTTCTCTTCTCCAGGTTCAACAGCCCCAACTTTCTCAGCCTATCTTCATACGGGAGGTGCTCCAGTCCCCTTGTCATCCTCGTGGTCCTCCTCTGGACTTGTTCCAACAGTTCCATGTCCTTTTTATGTTGAGGACACCAGAACTGCACACAATACTCCAGGTGAGGTCTCACAAGAGCAGATTAGAGGGGCAGGATCACCTCCTTCACAGTATCACAGTATGCTAGAGATTGGAAGGGACCTCAAAAGATCATCTAGTCCAATCCCCCTGCCGGAGCAGGAACACCTAGATAATGTTACACAGGAATGTGTCCAGGCGGGTTTTGAATGTCTCCAGGGAAGGAGACTCCACAACCTCCCTGGGGAGCCTGTTCCAGTATTCCGTCACCCTCACTGAGAAGAAGTTTCTTCTCAAGTTTAAGTGGAAAACTTCTACCTGCTGGTCACACTCCTTTTGATGCAGCCCAGGATACGGTTGGCTTTCTGGGCTGCAAGCGCACACTGAAGCCAGCTCATGTTCATTTTCTCATTGACCAACACCCCCAAGTCCTTCTCTGCAGGGCTGCTCTGAATCTCTTCTCTGCCCAACCTGTAGCTGTGCCTGGGATTGCTCCGACCCAGGTGTAGGACCTTGCACTTGTCATGGTTAAACTTCATAAGGTTGGCATCAGCCCACCTCACAAGTGTGTCAAGGTCCCTCTGGATGGCATTCCTTCCCTCCAGGGTATCAACCGAACAACACAGCTCGGTGTCATTGGCAAACTTGCTGAGGGTGCACTCAATCCCACTGTCCATGTCACCTACAAAGACGCTGAACAAGACTGGTCCCAACACCGATCCCTGAGGGACACCACTCGTTACTGGTCTCCAGCTGGACATTGAGCCATTGACCACAACTCTTTGTGTGCAGCCATCCAGCCAGTTCTTTATCCACCGAGTGGTCCATCCATCAAATTAATGTCTCTCCAGTTTAGGGACAAGGATGTCGTGTGGGACAGTGTGAAACACTTTACAGAAGTCCAGGTAGATGACATCAGCTGCTTTACCCCTGTCCATCGGTTCTGTAGCCCCATCATAGAAGGCCACCAAATTGGTCAGGCAGGATTTCCCCTTAGTGAAGCCATGCTGGCTGTCACCAAGCACCTTGTTGTTTTTCATGTGCCTTAGCATGCCTCCAGGAGAATCTGCTCCAAGATTTTGCCAGGCACAGAGGTGAGACTGACTGGTCTGTAATTCCCCGGGTCATCCATTTTCCCCTTCTTGAAAATGGGGGCTATATTTCCCTTTTTCCAGTCATCGGGAACTTCACCTGACTGCCATGATTTTTCAAATATGATGGCCACTGGCTTAGCAACTTCATTTGCCAGCTCCTTCAGGACCCACGGATGGATTTCATCATGTCCCATGGACTTGTGCACGTTCAGGTTCTTAAGATGGTCTAGAACCAGATCCTCTCCAACAGGGTCTTCATTCTCACAGTCCCTTCATCTGCCTTCCAAGACTTGGGCGGTGTGGTCGGAGCATTTGCCAGTGAAGACTGAGGCAAAGAAGTCATTAAGAACCTCAGCCTTCTCCAAATTCAGGGTTGCAAGTTCTCCTCATAGCTTCTGGAGAGCACCCACGCTGTCTTTTATTCACAATGTACCTATAGAATCTCTTCCTGTAACCTTTCACATCCCTAGCCAAGTTTAACTCTAACTGGTCCTTAGCTTTCCTAATCTGGTCCCTAGCTTCCCTGACAACATCCCTGTATTCTTCCCAGGCCTCCTGTCCTTGCTTCCACCTTTTATGAGCCTAAAAATAACCCCAAAATCAACAAGTTAAAGCTGTGAAATCTTTGCAGCAAGTGTCACAACACCTTGTTCTTCATGATAAATATTCAGCAGCCTGCAATGATGTTGTTGATGGGGATGTGGATCAGTTTGACAAAGAAACCAATAAATCCCATTATCGCAAAGCCTGTTGCTGTTGCTACGGCAATCTTCTGGACATCTTTCCTGTCATGCTTGGTGCATCTTTTGACAAGTTTTATGGAGTCTTTTACAAACTGATAGCTAGGTTCCACAAATTGCATTACCTGATCCATGATTACTGCTGCCAAGCCAAGGCCACGTTGGATATTTTTTAAAGTCAAAGACATATAAGGAGTCTAACAAATTATTATTAGAGAAGTAAAATCTATTCTAGGTAGCAAAAGTGGTTCACAGGTGGCAACCCTGTTTGTTTGCTTCAAATCTTTTTTTTATCCCCTCAGGGATACTGTCATGCTATAGCAGTCAACAGACTGCCACAGCAGTGTAGAATCAAAACATCTAAATAGCTCCCTTGCCACTCAGTGAAAAACAACAGCATTTACAGACCACTGATGTTTGTAAGTCAGCTGCCTTTTTAAGGAGCTGAAGCATCTTGTCCAAACCAGCAATTACCATGTGTGACAGTACACGGGTTTGAAATGCACATTTCCCCTGGTGTGCTGTTTCTTTCCTTGCTTGTGAGCCCACCTGTTGCCATATTAAGCCTTTTCTTTTCTTTAAAAGCACAACTGAACCCTTACTGTGTTAATTCTGAAATACAGCAGCCTGTAGCCACTGAGATCTGCATGTGCTGTCAGTGTCTGTAAGGGCACAAATACCAGTTAATGCTGCAATGTTATAATAACTGTGGCCAAAGTTGATCAGGCACTTTGATAATGGTACCGGGTAATTAGCAGGGAAATGCCCCCTGTGTGTAAAGTGTGCCATGGTAATTGAACATGGCTGCACACAGGCTCTTTCTATACCTGTGTTTGCGACAAGAGCTGCACACAAGTGGAGCGCTCCCAGGATCTATCTGTGGTGGGAAGATCCTGACAGCTTTGGCCAGGTCCTTACCAGGGGTGGGTGAACCTGCCACAAAGCAGCTCATTGCAGCCAACCCCAGAACTCAACAACTTGTGGGTGGTGATCAGCTAAGCAGCAAGGCTACACTTCCCTAGGGACCCACAGGAGTCCCTGGTACCAGTCTATGCCCACAGAGGGTGTAGGAAAACCTCCATGCAAGCCCAGTCTTGCTCTGCCTGAGCTCAAAACTGTGTCCGTGTGTCCAGTTCTGATGCTAAGAGACAGATGTGAACGCATTGCTGGAGATAACATGTCCCCTTCTCTGACATCAAAACATCAGGAACACCTTCCACTAGACCAGGTTGCTCAAAGATCTGTCCAACGTAGCCTTGAATACTGATACAGCTTCTCTGGGCAGCCTGTGGCAGTGTCACCATCCTCACAGGGAAGAAATTCTTCCTTATATTTAATCTAAATTTACCCTCTATCAACCCTTCAGACCAAAAAAAACCAAACGGTATGAAGCCCTTAGTCCCAGGAATATGCACCATTTGATCTATTAAAAGCATTTATTAAGGGCAGATTTTAGCTTCATAAGCTGGCTTGTTGTGCATGAACTCATTGGTTTTTCTTATTACCTTTGTTTATCAGGCACTATAGTATCTGCAGTGCTGTTTTCACGAAGCAACAGCATCTCCTGCCAAAGGGCAGAGAAAAGCTGATGAGACAAACTGGAAAAGGTTCTCGCACTCATTGTACCATAGCCTTTCTCTTGTCATTGACATTTGCCAGATTAAAAACTCTCAGTGCTTTACAGAAGTCACAAAGTTAATTTATAAGTGGAAAAACACCCCCGAGTCCTAGACTCCTAAACTAGCTACAGAGAAGTCCTATTAAAAATCCAGGACATAGTGTACTGCACGAGTAGAACAGTTAGGTATGCACACGTCTAGCTATTTCATGGGTGGAAAAAGAAAAAATGACACAATTACAGATTTGTCATACTTCACTGCTTTCTTCAGAGCATTGAATGTCACTTTAAAACAAACAGCCAAGTTCCTGTGACAAACATCCAGGGACATCTTAAAGTCAAAGCAGAAGCAACCAAAATCAGAAGGCAAAGGAAAATTTGACAAAGCTTCAAAACCTTGTCAGATGCAATTATTCAGTGTGTGCTCGAATCAACAAAAAAGAAGAGTCCCCTTCACTGCAGACTGCTGAGCAGTATTGAAAGGTTTCACATGCATTCCTATCTGCAGTGTTAGCTTAATAAAAATCTGCCATAGGTTTTAATGCTAAGAACAGGTGAACAAAACTAATATGAGAAAACCAACTGGGGTACAGAACAGCAAACAACAACAGGATTTCTGCTAACACGAGGAAAAGAAGTCAGAGTGCATATAATTTAATATAATTTTCCCCATAATAAACTACTCCTTACTGCAGTTAAAAACTTCAATCACAAAAAGCAGTTATTTTGAAGTAATGAGAATATTTCTTACCTCTTTCACATGTGTCGAGCTGCAAACTACTTTCGAATAAAAGATGGACCAAACCCATAAACATAAGAGAGTTAGAAAAGTCCCAGATGACACCCACAATGTATAATTTGCCACAGCTGAAAAGTAGTTCCCTAATAAAACTGAGGCTACAAGCTTTGAGCATCACTGGAACTTACCAGGAATGACTCCTTCAGGAGAGGTACATAACAATTGTTATCCTCAATGACCTATTTGTTCATTAAGTTCTGTTTTCTACTTGCTGTGCTTTGAGTGATTGGGTGGTGCTGTTAGTGCAGCACTACAGATTCTGTGGGTAACTTTAACAGAAGTATATTCAATATGTATGAAATAATCTCATTATTTGGCTTTCTGGTGGCATTTCTGGGAAACCAGTTTTATGCAATTTCATAATACAATTGCTGAAATGGTGGGGTTCTCCTATAGGTTAGATTTTTCACTTTTAAAGGATTTCATTCTTACATCCTGTAACTCTTAAGTGCTTTCAGTTTTGATTAACTCTCAAACAGATTAGCCTCCTTCAGAAGACATTCATGTTGAGTTTCCTAAAGAAAAGGACCACTTGCTAGTGATTGTCATTGCTTCTGCAGCAGCTCATTAGAAAACACGCTGATTTCCTGCATTCATAAAGTATTATTTGCTCACCTGTTCAGCCAAAAAGCTTTTGAAGAAGAACATGGGTAACAAGAAAGGTGACAGAACACTGAGAAGATGACAAGCTTTTGCTTATCCTTTTTCTTACTGACAGTAATGGGTTAAGACTGAAATGTCAATTAACATCCCATTGCAAAAGCACTTCCTCACTTATAAATAAATATTTAGGCAGAAATTCACAGGCAGTTAGGAATGCTGTCCTGGCAATATTGCAAACGATGTATTCTACAGGTGTAAAAAAATTGCCAAAATTGTTCCTTTTGCTTCTTAATGCTTTTACCAGCAGTTATTTTGAGACACAAACCATTCCAGTTCTCACTTAGCTTTCTACAAACTACGAGGAATTCTTACACAACGATGCTGCCATACAGTGCCTTTGCCAAGGTTTAACAAACTGTTTTAATAAAGACATTATTACGAGGGAGTTGTATTTTAAAGGAAATTACAATCCATACTTGGAATTATTGTAGATCATTGCACCAAAGTGTGATTTTTGAATGACTCAACAATATCAATTTCTCATTTGGTATATGTTCTCTTATATTAAGGTTTGTTTTTTATATTAATGTTTATTTCTTATTCCCTAATTTGCTGTTTCAGCTAATTGCACAAGATATGCAGGAGCAAACACTAATTACTAAATCAGGCTCTGGCTTTTAAAAGACTCAGGGGAAATAAACCAACAAATGGGAAGACAGAGACCTGTTTATTTTCCCTACTCCTTGTCTGAAGGGCTGCACAAAGAGTCAGTGTTTTAAGAGAATGCACAGAAATATACAGAACAGTGGGATTTTTTTTGGTGTTGTTTTATTACCAGGGCAGGGGAGAGGTTGCTAATCTGTTTTCCAATCATGGAGTCCTGCCATGGAATTTGCCAGGTATTAATTGCCATATGGAAAGCATGTTCATGAATGCCTACATGCATACATTGCTATGTGTATGCATCAACTTACTAACGTGCATAAAACTATTCTCCTTTGTAATTAGAATGTCTGTTGACATCTTTTTTTTCAGGTTACACAATAGTTGCTAATCCCACACACTTGAACTGCTCCCTTGTATATGCTGATTGTGGCAATAAGGGTGGAGATACTTGGAAATATATAGGAAATTCTGATCCCATCATGGCTTTCTATGTTCTGCTGCTGCTCACTCGATCTCTTCTTTTACTCCTGGCTTTTCAGTCTGGCACATCTTTTTACACTGAAGTTTCTGGTCTTCATGGGTTCCACCTCAAGCTATCTCACTTTCTTGTCTTGACAATTTTGACACAGTAGCTGACTCAACTTCTGAATTGTGTGATATACCAGACATCGTCCTTGGGGCTCAGGCAGAAGTCTAGAAAGGCTGCAATGATTTTGGCTTTTCATTGGTATACTGTTGATTTGCCCTGACTGAAGAAAATTTTTGGATAAAGAACTTTTACCTTCATTTTGTTCTAGCTGATAGTGTTTGATGGCTCCCTGAAAATGCTCCCCCTAAAGGATTTAAAATAAAGTTAAATGCATTTACTTAGGCCTTCCTGTTTACCGGTGGTTAGGAGTCATTTCTACTCATTCTCTATCCATTGCTAGTTGTGCCTTCCATTGTAAGGGAGGGGGGAAAGCAACATCTTGGGGGATCCTCGTTTTGCCCTCCACTGAAAGCAGAGAGCAGGAAGATTGTTTTAGATATGGGGTGACGTAGAGCTGCAAGCACCTACAGTATGATCCATAACAATCGCAGAGAACGGGCAGAGCATGCTGCTGTTAGACTGGCATAAAGCACCATGCAGGGTCTTCCTGTAACCAGTTCTTTGCCAGTTCTCAGCTGAAAAAGAGCTTGAAGAGCTCGAGCCAAGTTGGTGGAAGCTTCTGAAAACTGCATCCATCCCCCAAAAATTTCCTTAGGACCACAGATTGAGAGCCTTTTTCTTCCCCACCAGTAAATGGCAAATTAGAGGAACAGATTTTGTTCATTCCTGTGGAATTACTTCAGAGTGGTCCCTGGAAATCAGCCCTTCACTTTGGTCTGAGGCAAAATATAGTTTCACTTTTAAACTTGCCCTCAACTATGGCTCTTGAATAACTCAAAGCATGCTGTCAGGGCTTGCCAGTCCCAGCTGAGACCTGCCCGGTGGCCAGGTCTGACAGGTACCAT